CCCAATGATTTTTCTTCCAGGCCTGGATTAACTTCAATGGGATTAATTTCGGGGAGAACCTGAGATCTTAATCTTGCCCAATTTTTGGTGGGGTGGAATTTGGATATGGTTAAGCATCATTCAGGGCTGAATTTATCCTGTTAGATTTATGAGCTGTCGTGATCTTAGATGAACCTGTACATCAGGATAAAAGTTCAGCAGCAACGATTAATCACATCAAATGAACCTTCTTACCAAGCAATTAGGAATTTGAGTTGGGATAATAACTGGAAACATGGAAATTTGCCATCTGAAATTTGTCATTTGTCATCAGGGCAAGGAACTAGCATGGCCCTGGGACAATTAAGGATTGCATACCTATAACAGGAGGCCATTTTCAACGCATGACTAATAATTTAATAATGAGTGCAGTGTTGTTGATCTATTGTTGTTGTTTTTAGCATTAGTGTTAGCATTTATTAGCACTGGCATCTGTTAGGCATAGGCTCAGGCTATCAGAAGGACCATAGTCTCCCTTCCAAACCTGGCTGGGCTCTAAGATCTTCAGGGGAGGCCTTCTTCTCAATCCTGCCTCCGTCACAGGCATGCTTGGTGGGGAAGTGGGACAGGGCCTTCTCTGTGGTGGCGGCTAGACTTTGAACCCCTTTCCAAAAAAGGCTAGACCTAACTATCCTTCTGCCTGTGAAGACTGTTTTATTGTGGGAGGCTTTGAAGAACTGGCTACTTTTAAGGAAAGGGCTTTTAATAGCACTGTGTTCTTTTTAATGCCTCTTTTTAATATATTTGTCTTCATATCATTTTAATTCCATAGATAGTTTCATTACATTTTAAGCATTATATTTTATATATTTTAACTATCTGTGTTTTATCCATGTTTCTTCTAATTTTTGTGAGCTGTCTTGAGCCCCAGTTCTGGAGCGAAAGGTGAGCTATGAATAAATGAAATAATAGTAATTAGTCACTTTACACAAACAAATGCTCAAAGCAACTTAACAAGATAATAATAATAATAATAATAATAATAATAATAATAATAATAATTTTATTTATATCCCACCCTCCCCAGCCGAAGCCGGGCTCAGGGCGGCTAACAACAATAAAATAAGATAAAATAAGAACAATCAAAAGCTAAGCTAAAGCAGTTTTAAGTGGTATCATTTATGGTGTGAATGTGGTCTCTCTCACATACCTACACATACACACTGTATTTGTCCATATCAGATAATTTTTGTTGTTGTTGTTATGTGGCTTGCCACATAAGGAGTCTCACAGCAAGTCACAAATATAAGACAGAACAAAATGAAAAAAGCAACAAGAAGAAAAATACTTGCAATAACTCATAAGATAGACTCAATGAACCTGCAGCGAAGTCAAATAGGGTTGAATCCCACTAAGACTTACTCAGAGCAGGCCCACTGAAATTCATTGATCTAAGTTAGTTGTGTTTCTGGATTTCAATTGGTCTTCTATGAGTAGGACTAAAATTGGATGCAAGACATAATCATTAAACTGCAAAATAATTATAATCCATCAAATGTGTTGTGTTTTTACCTGGCACCGAAAGTGTGTTGATGATGGTGCTAGGTATGCCTAACTGGGAAGACTATTCAGCAAGTAGGGAGCCACCACTAAAAAATCCCTTTCTTTCTGTCGTCATCACACTCCAAACCTCCCTTAGCTGGGCCACCTGGGACAGAATCTCAGATGAATACCAAAGTGTCTGGGTAGGTTAATAGAAGCTAGATATGAATCAAAATTGAAACTGAATTGGGGAGTTTGTGAAGGCCCACACGTACAGGAGATACCTTTCCTCATATCTTTGCCTTCCAACTTTGGAGAATGATAACTGCTCCATCTCTTTGCTCTCTAACTCATGAGGAGTGAGAGGGAGGAGTTAGCATTTTTGTACCCACCCACCCCCTTCATGTATTGAGTGAGCTTAAATTTAGAATGTCTGAAAAGGGCATCGTTGTTGTTGTCATCGTCATCATCATCATCATCATCATTACATACTACTCTTTGTCAAAAGACAACAGAGTGGTTTATCCATACCCCATCTTTTCCAGACTGGGACTCAGAGCAGCTTACACAAATTAAAATAACCATGATAAAATGCAAAAGCTAAAAATGTCTGAAAAATAATTGTTAACCATAGTTAAATTCCAATAGAATTAAAATGATTTATAAACCAAATCTATTAAAATATAGCTCTTTCCTTTAAAAAGCAGTCAGCTCCTAAAGGCCTGTTAGAATAAAACCATCGGGTTTAATACCTCGGGTTAAGAACTTAACTCATTCTGGAGGTCCGTTCTTAACCTGAAATTGTTCTTAATCTGAGGTACCACTTTAGCTAACGGGGCCTCCCGCTGCCGCCGCACCACTGCCGCACAATTTCTGTTCTCATCCTGAAGCAAAGTTCTTAAGCCGAGGTACTATTTCTGGGTTAGAGGAGTCTGTAACCTGAAGCGTCTGTAACCTGAAGCGTCTGTAACCCGAGGTACTACTATATTCACCTACCAGCAAGATAACGAAGAGGGAGCCAGTCTACCTTCTCTAGGAAGGAAGTTCCAAAGTCTGGGAGCAACCACTGAGAAGACCCTCTGCTACTATTCATTTAAACATATCAGAGCAGATATATATATATATATATATATATATATATATATATATATATATATAGAGTAGACTATACAATGAGGGGAAACATACTAAAAAGTTATAACCAAAAATCTGCTATTATGGAAAGATGTCTTCTTAATTGCCTGCATACGCTTGATGGAATATAAAATTTTCAGCCAACGTTTACAGCACAAAACATAACAGCACTATATAAACACGTAATACGATATCCATACTATACATAAAAAGAATCAAAACAGTTATATAAATACAATTTGTAACAATAAGCAATACATAGTACCTAATCCACAATGAATATAATGAACACATGCTAAGTAGCAACGTCAAAGGATACACAATAGCACCCCAACAATAAACTTGGTGACACTTGTCAGTTGCTGAGTCGTGTAACATTAAGTTATTACCTACTTAACTTGGAAGCAGCTATGCAACATAATGCATATCGAACAACAGCCTCTGGAATAATAAAGGAGGGGGAAATCAACAGTGAGGTATCCAAAGTGCCGAAATGATGTAGAATTGCATCATCTTCTTTCTGTAGAAAACCTAGTCTAAATTTCCACACACCCAAAAAAGGACAGACCTTCTCAATTCTCTCCTGGGACCTTTTCTTATCTTTCCCAGTCTCTCACCCCAGGAAAGCAGGTCCTTAGTCTTTAGTTGTTCCATGGGAATCTCACGGTCATCACTAGTTTTAATGTTTGATTTCTTATTCTCTTTAATATTCTGTCGGAAGCTGCCCAGAGTGGCTGGGGAAACCCAGCCAGATGGGTGGGGTATAAATAAATAAATAAATAAATAAATTATTATTATTATTATTATTATTATTATTAGTATTATTTTGAGGGAGGTATTCAGGCAAGAACCAGAGCTTCACATCTGTGCCCTTAGCGTGGATTCAAGCACTCTGACTGCATTCACATGGTAGTTTATCCCATTTCCCCAATATTTCCCTAATTGTTTTATCTCCACTTTATATATGAGTTTTCACATGGTGCAAAAGCCACTTCTGGAAAACTAATGGAATGCAATGCATGTTTGATGCTCACTTCTGTGTTACTTGACTCCAGAGAAAACAAACCCATTTGCAGGACCCTTAGTTTGGAAAATCGTGGGAACAAAGTGATGAAATTTGGGGTTGTATGCCAGCAGGCAGTTCTTCCCTGCCAATTTCATGGGAGAATATTAGCCATGTCCTTCAAATTGATTTGGGGCCAGATCCTGTTTGGATGTTCCCAGGTCAGCTTGGGTCGTGATAAGGGGGTGCATAGCCCTTGAAAACAACAAATCCCATTATTCATTTACAAATCTTTCCTGCTGCTGCTGCTGCTGCTGTTTGGAATTGCTGAGCAACGCTGGTTACTTTCTGCTAGTGATCAATAAACAGGCTGTGATTTCTGCATTGCATGGGGTTGGTTTAGATGACTGTTGGGGTCCCTTCCAACTCTACAGTTCTGTGATGCTATAATTCTATTATAGGTCACCTGGAAGAGCCCTGTGACTGTGAGGAATTCAATCGGTAGTGTTTTGTTGTTGTTGCTGTTGTTGTTTGTCTGTTTTTAGCCACCTGCTACTGATATGACACGGGTGGTGCTGTGGGTTAAATCACTGAGCCTAGGACTTGCCCATCAGAAGGTCGGCGGTTCGAATCCCCGTGACGGGGTGAGCTCCCATTGTTCGGTCCCTGCTCCTGCCAACCTAGCAGTTTGAAAGCACGTCAAAGTGCAAGTAGATAAATAGGTACCGCTCCGGCGGGAAGGTAAATGGCGTTTCTGTGCGCTGCTCTGGTTTGCCAGAAGCAGCTTAGTCATGCTGGCCACATGACCCGGAAGCTGTACGCTGGCTCCCTCGGCCAATAAAGTGAGATGAGCACCGCAACCCCAGAGTCAGCCATGACTGGACCTAATGGTCAGGGGTCCATTTACCTTTACTGATATCTACCTGTGATGCATTCTTTTGGTGACAGCACAGGAGTCACTGACCACAACAAATTCACTTATTCCATATTTGTGGTTTGACCTTTCTTCTTTGTTTTTGGTGGCATGCCAGTGAAAGAAGGTGTGCAGAGCCAGCAACTGACTCATTTGCTAAAAATCTTCCCGGAATCACTACCTGCATTACAGGTCACGCAGGTTCTGCTGTTGGGATCACACTGTTGTCTTCTCTCACCCCCTAGAGAGGGCACTGTTCCCATGCGCAGCAGAGCAAGCAATGCCATGGAATGCATCTATTCCTTTCTTACATAAAGAGCCTACCTGTCATTATCTCCCAAACATCAGCAACAGCTTTCATTTGCAAGCAGATTCGCTGGAGGCTGAGAGATAATGAGCATGGCATCAAATGCGCCGAGAGCAAGTCAAATGGCTTATCGGGCGTGGGAGGAAGATTACAGCAGAGAGACACAAGTTATTGAGAAGGGAGATTCTACGGAAGAAAAAGAATTTTGTATGCCGAGTCAGGTACCTGGTTTATCAAGTCTACAGACTGACGGAAGAAGCACTCAGGCTGAGGTATGTCCTACCCTGACTATCCGAGATCCTTTTAACTCAGTGAAAGAGGGATTCAAAGCTTTCCCCCAGAGGCCCTGGGATCTTTCAGCGAGTCTCTGGGGTGATCCCCCCATTTCCTGGTGGAACAGGGAGGGTTCTCTGCTTGGCATGGAAAGCTTTGTCCTTCTGGCTCATATTCTTAGTGAGTGGGAGGCTATGGACAGGGGCCTTTGGGCATGACAACCTATGAAGGGGAGCAGAAACCTTTGGTCCAAGGGATGAAACTAGGTGGCTATGCCTCTAAATCTGGCACCTAGCATTTTCCAAGGGAGGTGGGGTTTGAGATGTGCTTGGGTGTCCAGAGAAGCTGGCAAAGACAACAGGAAGGGCTTTGTGTGCTTCAAGGTCCTAAAGAGAAAGAACATCATGCAGTGGGCAGAGTAAATGCCAATTTCCAGCTAGGATTAGAATCATAGCATTGTGGAGTTGGAAGGGACCCTCAGGATCATCCAGTCTGACCCCCCGCAATGTAGGAATATGCAGCTGTCCCATAAGGGGATCGAACCTACAACCATGGCATTATCAGCACCACTCTCTAACCAGCTGAGCTATCCAGCTGATCATTAAGGTCACTCAACATACTATGTTCAAGCATAGAGGGTGGAGAAAAGTGAAACATTTAATGGGAGCTTCCATCTAGAGATGCTCCTCCCACTTTTCAATCTCATTGGCTGGTTGGTTGGGCTTAGGAGAGATGACCTTTCCCTTGTACCTACTTTTTGTAAAATTATTTTTGATTTCTACTAGTAGTGATGGAGTTCATACATGTGGTAGTGTAGCAGAATTATGCAAAGTTGTCTGCTAAAACAAGGGCCAGTAACTGCCTAACCTACCTCACAGGGCTGTTGTAGGGATTAAATGAGGATGAGCAGAACCATATACACCACCTTGAGTGAAGGAGAAATGAGGATATCTTCTGCATCTGAACTATGGCATCCTCCCTGTGAAACATTTTTTCTGATACCCTGGTCTTGATTGTCCTCATCCAAGCCTACCATACTAAAACTCAAAGACGCCCTGGTTGTAACTGTCCAAGGATTCCAGCATCTGGTCAGTTCCAGGCCAAGCCAAATTCTTCTTAGATCCCCCAGGGGGAACAGGTTTTGTTGCTGTTCTAGTCCATTAAATAACGTAAAAGTGGGTGGAGGGGGAGAGGGGGGAGGAACAAATTTTGTTCTTATTTGTTTTGTGGGGAACAAATAGTGCAGTCTAGCTATTCCCCGATCTTCATCAGGTGCATTAAATGCATGGTGACAATGTGATCAAAATATCACCAAAGCTCCATGGAATTCACCCACAACCAATAACTAAGCATATCTGTGATGGTTGACTGACCCAACCCAAAGAATGCTTACTAACGGTTTCTCTTCATCCTGGGTGTGGGGGGAAGTGTCAAGTGGGGTGAGACAGGATTCTGTCCTGGGTCTATTGTTGTGCAACATCCTTATAAAAATGACTTGGTTGAGGGAATTGAAGGAGTGCTCATCCAATTTTCAGATGGCACCAAAATTGAGAGAGGTAGCTAATTCTACAGAAGACAGAATCGGGATCGAAGATGACTTTAACAGATTGGGGAACCGAGTCCGAACTAACATATTGAATTTCAATAGGGGCAAATGTAAGGTTCTGCACTTAGGCAGGAACAACCATCCCCTGAGGCGCTTCTTCATGTGCCTCCTCTAGGAGAAGTCTGAAGGGCATTTTCTGCAGTAGCTCCTTGCTTGTGGACTGCTCTCCCCAGGAAGGCTTGCCTGGTACCTTCATTACATATCATTAGGCGCCAAGCAAAAATGTTTCTCTCTAACAATGCACCTGACTGATTAACATTCTGTGGCTTTTAAAAGTATCTATGGGGAGGGGGTGTTATTGATTTGTTTTTGTTTTATTATGTATTTTGTATTTTCATTTTGCGTTTTCTGTTGTGAACCACCCTAGAATATTTGGATGAAGGGCAATAAGCAAATTAATTAATTAATAACCAGCAGAACGAATATAAGATATGTGACAAATATAAGATAGTAGACCACAAGCTTCACAAGAGTCAACAGTGTGATACAGTAGCAATAAAGTTAATGCTATTCTAGGCTACATCAACAGAAGTCTAGCATCCCAATTAAGGGAAAAAATAATGCTGCTATATTCTGCCTTGGTCAGACCACACCTGGAGTACTGTGTCCATTTCTGGGCATTACAATTTAAGAAGGATATTGAGAAGTTGGAGCATTGGCAGATCAGGGCTAGTAAAATTATCAATGGTCTGGAAACCTAGCCTTGTGAGGAACAGTTTAGAATAATAGAATTCCAGAGCTGGAAGGGACCTTGTGGATCATCTAGTCCAAACCCATGCAATGCAAGAATATGCAGCTGTCCCATATGGGGTGTATCAGCCATAGTATATCAGCACCATGTTCTAGTCTAACTCTTTAGGGAGCTGGGGTTTTTCAGCATGGGTAAGAGGAGACCCAGAGGAGATATGATAACCATCTTCAACCATCTAAAGGGCTGTCACATGAAAGATGGAGCAAGTTTGTTTTCTCCTGCTCCAGAAGTTAGGACCAGAAACAATGGCTTCAGCTTACAAGAAAGGAGATTCTGGCTAAACAACAGGAAGAACTTTCTGATGGTAAGAGCTGTTTGACAGTGGGTAAGACTCCCTTGGGAGGTTGTGGACTCTCCTTCCTAGGAGGTTTTTAAGCAGAGGTTGGACGGCAACCTGCCATGGATACTTACTTGAAATTCCTGCATTGCAGTGGGTTGAACTAGATCAGGCTTCCTCAACCTCGGCCCTCCAGATGTTTTGAGACTACAATTCCCAGCATCCCTGACCACTGGTCCTGCTAGCTAGGGATCGTGGGAGTTGTAGGCCAAAAACATCTGGAGGGCCGAGGTTGAGGAAGCCTGAGGAAGGTTGAGGAAGATGATCTTTGGGGTCCCTTCCAACTCTACAATTCTATGATGGAACAGAAGCGCACCTGCAGAAATAATTTGTTCTTTCCTGCCTCCCATAATTGGCTTTCCCTAGACAGATGCCTCAGTCACCATGTGCCTTGGAGACCTGTTGTCTCCCAGCCCTTGAATAATAGGTACGTCTCCCTAAACCATTAACTTCAACTCACTTTTTTGCTCTTGGCCCAGATGTGGTAATAATATACTAGACAGCAAGTTCTCATTTTCTTTCTTCCACGAAGACTGAAGTCAGGTGATTCATCAGAATATAAAGCAAGATGATTCCACATGAAAGCCAGGGTGGAGTTTAAATAATTATAACTAATGGCATTTTTATCCTAGTCTTTCTACAAGGAGTTCAAGAAGTACCAGGTTCACAGTCTTCCCACCACCACAATTTCATCCTCATGACAATCCTAGGTTAGGTAGAATAGTGGCTGGCCCCAGTCACACCCAGCTAGCTTCACAGCTAAGTGGGATTTGAACCCAGACTCACCACTGCTCATCAGGCTCTCTAACCACTATTCATAGACTACCACAGATATAATCCTTGAATGAAGGGCAATCTTCTACTCTTAAGGCATATGCCCTGACTTACTGTCATCTTGATACTTTTGGAAACCATAGCTCAATGACTGAGCACATGCTCTACATGTTGAAGGTGTAACAATAACAATAATAATAATTTATTTATTTATTTATACCCCACCCATCTGGCTGGGTTTCCCCAGCCACTCTGGGCAGCTTCCAACCGAATATTAAAAACACAATACAGCATTAAACGTTAAAAACTTCCCTAAACAGGGCTGCCTTCAGATGTCTTTTAAAAGTAAGATAGTTGCTTATTTCCTGACATCTGATGGGAGGTATCTAGGTATCTAAGGTATCTAGATAGGATTGGAAAAGACTGGCCACTGTCTAAAAATCTGGAGACTCAGTGTAGATAGGCAACCTGTGGTCCTTCAGATATTGTTGGACTCCAACTCTCAGCCCCAGACAATAGAGCCAGTGGTCTTGGATGAAAGGAGTTGTAGTTCAACAATATATTTGGACTCTCCATCTCCCATCAACCCCAGCCAGCATGACTAATGGTCAGGGATGAGTGGAGTCATACTCCAACAACATCTGGAGGGCCCCAGGCTCACCATCCCTGGTGCAGACACTGCTGAGCTTGGAGAACCAGTTGTTTGATTTGGTAAAAGGTAGCTCATTTGCTCCTATCTGCCAGCTCTTGCATTTAACTGTTTGTAGCAGTGGTGGGGCAGCATAAAATCTACTGCCAGAGGCAGAATTCTAGTTACCAGGAATGGTGAGTGGGAAGAGCACTATTGCACTCAGGTTCTGCTTTGGGGCTTTCCATAGGCATCTGATTGACTTCTATGAGAACAGGTTGCCATTGGCCTGATTCTTATGTTATTCACTCCAACCATGCCTAATACAACTTGAAACTGTTGTGGCCATATGCATTACCTTCTCTTCAATGGCTGGAGGGAAGCCCATGGCTTGGATCATACCACACATTATACTGAAGGTTTAGCAGGCAGAGGGGCTGCTTTGGTGAGTGTACATGGAAGCAGGCCATAACTACCATGGGCTATTACGTGTGAGTACAGCTCACGCATTTTAGCGAGTCTTCTTGCTACACATCCTAAATTATACTCCACCCTCCAGCAGCTAAATGAAATAGAACATATGTGGGAGTTTGTAGTGTGCAATGCAGAGCTTAATGGGCTTGTATCCTTCTAATAGACCTGATGTCTCATATCTTGGTTTGCCACAGTTACTGGAGAGATATTCATTTTTAATATGAACCTACCTAGTTGACGCTTCCTCAAATGCAGCTGTGCTGTGAGATTTCCACCTTTCGAAATTTCCCCCCTAATTATTTCCAACCCAATAATTAGTACAAAAAGTTGCATGTTAGAGGAGGAAGTCGCATGCCTGTGGTATAGTGTTTAGAGTGTTGGACTAAGAAGTGGGGGATACCAAGTTTCAAATCCCTGCTCCGCCATGAAATTCACTGGGTAACTTTGGGCCAGTCTTTCGACCTAACCTACCTCCCAGAGTTGTTTTGAGGATAAAAATGGGGAAGAAGAGAGTGCTGTGATCACACTGAGCTCCTTAGAGGAAAAGAGGTATATAAATTTAATAAAACAGTAGTCATATATTTGTGAAAATAACAGGAAAGGGGGCATTCAATTGAAAATAATTGCTTGCAAAAATGGGTCTGCTCAGCAAGGGAGGAGCACTGTAACACCATCTGCAACTGGTGTGATCCTTTCTCTGTAAATTTAAACCTACAGGTTTCACATCTCTCTGTTGTCTATTTGGTCTTCCTGCCCCCTCCATATTGCCAAGGCAGATGTGTTCATTGATAAAAAGCACTACAGCAAAACAATTGCTTTTGATGTGACCGCGTACACACTGTTGCATCAAGATTGCTTCTTTGTGCAATTGCTTACTGATTCGCCTGTGAAATCCTGTGCGTTGAGCAACCACTCTTTGCAGGGAGGCAATAAAAGTAAAGTAACAGATATGGAAATTGTTCGTTGTGTTGTTGTTTTTATCCCTAATGTGCAGGGTTTTGGTGCAGATCTGCATCAATGAAATATTCCCTCTGCCAGCTCCAAAGCAAAAGCCATCTGGTTCTGATCATTTGCATCATTGCATCCACATTCTTCTTCTATAGTGTTTTGTCCAGGGCGGATCATTCCATTAGAACGGCAGTTTCCAATACTTTTGATATGGTGAAACATGCATTCAATTTCAAATTCATTATTTATTACTGTTTATTTATTACATTTATATATGTCACAGACTGGTTGGATGCAGAAACAACAACAATAGAAACAATAAAACAACAACAAAGCAATAATCCCCCCTCCCACGACACATTTCAGAGGGCATTGGGTGTCAACCAGCCAATCAGCCAAAGGCCTAGCTGAAGAGGAATGTTTCTGCCTGGCATCTAAAGATATATAATGAAGGAGCCAGCTGAACCTCCGTGGGGAGAGCATTCCACAAAAGAAGAGCCACTGCAGAGAAGACCCTGTTCTCGTACTGCCACCCTCCAACCTCTCATGGAGGAGGCACATGAAGAAGGGCCTCAGAGGACGATCTCAGGGTCTGCATACGTTCATATGGAGAGAGAAGGTCCTTGAGGTAGTGCAGTCCTGAGCCATTTAAGGCTTTATAGATGAAAAACAGCACTTTGAATTGGGCCTGCTAAGTACTTGCAAAGTTATTCATAGTTTCTTTTATTTGATTGCAGGATATTGCTTCATAAGCTATACATTTTTATTCTAAGGCCAGATGACTTTGCATCAGAGGGATGCTGTAACAGTCACTCTAAATAACATTCTATATGAGCACCTTGAGCTGAATTGTCACCTCATTATTTATTTATTTATTTATTTATTTATTTATTTATTTCCTACCCTTCACCCAAGATCCCAGGGCATATTACAACACTAAAAGGCAATTTTAAAAATGTGGACAGACAACATGAATACTTGTCACTCTAAAGGGCTTTCGACCAGGATGTTAGCTGCAACTAGAATTTCAAATTCCCAGCCATAGAAAACCTGGAAAGCAAATGTATTTGGCTATTTCACACAAGAATATGGGGATTCATATAAACTGTGTGTTTCCAGGAAGTTCAGAAGATCCAGAATGCTTTTATGAAATCTGGTGGAATTTTATTTCCTATGCTTTGGACTTAGACACTCATCATTCTCTATCCATTCCATCTTCAGGAGCAGGGGTGTCTTGGTTTATATTGGTTTCTTTCTCTTGTCATTTATTTATTCTTTGCTTTTGCTTATTTAAGGGGTAGTCAACCTTTTTATACCTACCGCCCACTAATGTGTCCATCTTGATGGTAAAATTTCCTTACCGCCCACCAGTGCTCAATGGAAGGAGGATTCAGCTTGTGCTGTAGAACCCCCTACTGCCCACCTAGAGTCCTGAAATGCCCACTAGTGGGCAGTAGGGACCAGGTTGAAAACCCCTGGCTTATTTTATTGGCATCTGTCTGGGAGACAATAGAAGAGTGTGCTGTTGGAGGTAAAGTCAAACTGTTGCAGAGTTACAGCGCCTGCTGTGGCCGTAGAGACCAATATGGGATAGATATATTTTGTTGCATCTGGGGTAGAAGAAGGCATCTGGTTTCTCTTGTACAGTTGCACCATGCTCCTCCCAGTGATCATTTCTTCTCTGGTTATTACTGTGGATACAAGAACTGACTGTTTGTCTCTAAGCACTGCAGTCGTCTAGGATGGAAGGGTTAATGTTGCCAGCCTTCATGTCATGACTGCAGACATCTTTGTAATCAGGGTGCCAGGGTGCAAAGATCTGCCCAACCCCCCCTCCGGTTGCCCAGTCCCAGGTGCTCAGGAGGACGGAGCCGGCTGGCCGCCTCAGCATCTCGCTGGCTTGGCCACTCCCAAACTCGCAGCGCAGAGCCACCTGCAGCAGAAGAGCCTGCCGTGGTGCTCCAACCAATGGGCGGGCTCTTCCCCAGACTTAATTCTCGGGCCCCGGACTCTCAGCCTGGAACCCCTGAGAGCCCAGAGCATGGGTGTCCCACACCCCTAGCGCCTATGGGTAAGACGGCCCTGTTTGTAATGCAAAGTTGGCCTGCCAACAGGCCTAGTCCCTGAAGCCCTCTCCTTGTAAAGCACATCCTTGGTAATCCTGCCATCTTCCATTCTCTGTACATGACCAAGCCAACTTAGATATCTCTAAGACAGAAGTATAAACATGCTGAGCATGTAGGCTTGGAAGAGCACATCTTTGTTTGAGACTCTGTCATGTGATGCCCCAAATCTTCCTGATGCTGTATATATGAAAGCCACTGAAGTATCACTCCTGGCAGGTGTCAGTTGCCCACGACTCACTTCCATAAAACAGCGTGCTCAACACGCAAGCCCAGTAGACCTTCATCTTGGTATGAGAGCTTCTCCATTTGGGGAAACACAAATGTGCTGCTTGTGGGTTTCTCATAGGATCAGTTGGGCCACTGTTAGAACAGAACACTGGACTATGATGGATCTTTGGCCTGACTCAGCAAGTTCTTCTGTCTCTGGTGGTGGTGGGGATATGCAAAAGAACAGAAGCAACCCAAACCTGTAGCAACCTGCAGATGCTCCCATTACATAATTAACGTTAGAAAATCTTTGTGGTTTGGTGAGGATTCAGGCAGTGTGGAACGTGGGACTGAATAAATTAGAGGAGGCAATTAAAGGAACAGGTTGAGGAATGGCCTTTCATCCCAACAGTTCCCGTGCTGACATTTGCAATGGCTCCTCACCCATTCCTCTCTACGTTCTCCCCAAAGGTTTTTCCTTCTCTATTTCTCTTCTCTCCCTGACACCCTTTCTTGTCTATCTCCCTGCCCAGTGGACCACCAGAGGAGTGGACCACCTGTGAGAGGCCTGATCTGATCTCTTGCCCAGAGCTCTTGAACATCAACCAAGAGCCACCAGTTGCCCACCCTTCTCTAAAGACTTCAGACTGTGTCCTGAAGTCACATGTGGTGGAACATTCAGAGACCGCATGAAGCTTAATGTAGGGGGGAAATGGAGTGTCATTTGAATAATCTCTCAGATGTGGCTGAAAAAAATTAATGCGGCTGGATCAGGAAGTTTCTGGGAATCAGTTTCGCTCAGGGATATCTTCTGAGTTAGGCAAAAGAAAAGCCTATGCAATTGACTTCTCCCAAATGATTCCCATAAAGAACATGAAGGGCCAATGCACTGCGGTCAGAGAGCTCGCTTTGAGGTTAGGCTAATAATAAAGCCCATGAAGCAATGTGTTCTCAATTGTTCCTGACTATAAAACAGCCACATGTGTAAGACAAACATCACGTCTCATCCAAAGAATAAAAAAAGCAGAAGATCCCAAGCAGGTTTCCCGACAATTAGAGCAAATTGAGCCGCGTGGAGCAAATTTTGGCCGGGATATAATTAAGACCTTTGTGTTCAAAGGCTGCCTCATCCCCTTAAGGCTGTCTGAGAATCTTTATAAAAGCTTGCCATGACTCTTAAAAAGAGCTTATTTGAATCCAGCCGCAGAGGGAACCAGGTAAGCCTGATTTGACATGAGCTTGCTTATGATGCTTCTTTGACTGTTTCCGTTCTGAATTGCCCCCCACAACCCAACAAGGAGCCCATCTAGGACCTGCTTATTTTGTGAAAAGTCCAGTTGACTGAAATGGGAGCACCTTGGATTAAAACAAGAATGCTTCTTCAAGCATCTTGAATGACTTAGACAGAGCACCTCTTGTGTAAGCAGAAAGTCCAAGGTCCAATCCCTGGCATCTCTAGGTAAGGATTGGAGGGACCCCTGCCTAAAATCCTGGAAGGCAAGTGCCACTCAGTGTAGACAATATTGACCTAGATGGACCAGTGTTCTAACTCAATATAAGGCAGATTCCTCTATTCTTGTGTAAGCGCACTTCTTCTTTGTAATGCTTGAGTTGATAGTCAAATTGTTTGCCCCTTTACGTCCTTTCACATCAGTCAAAATCTGGACCATTGACAGCTACCTTTTTATCCATGACTTTGTTTAATTGTTTAAGGAAGGGACATAGCACTCATAACTCCTGGATATTACTAGATTCCATGGGTTTGGTCAAGAAAACTCTTAGGATCCCTTCCAACTCTACAATTCTGTGGATCCTAAGATTAGATACCTTAAGGAAGAAAAGTTGTTTTCCTAACCCACCTCCTGCACCCCCTAAAAACTTCTCCAGAGAATCAGATAGGTCCTCCTAGGGTGGTTTGCTGGGTTTTGCTGGGGGAAGAGGGATTGTTTCAAACCAGGCTTAGAATCTAAAATGAGCTGAGTAAGGTCATGACAAGGAAGCTTCCCACTGCTTCCTTCATTCATGAACCTCCCTCTTCATTCCACAATGGTCTGGAGGCCCCGATCCCCAGGCCACAGGTAGCTTCAGAGAGGACAAGGGAGTAGAAACTTTCCTTCTGTGAACTTCCTTCACTAAATGCATCTTGGGATCTAAGTCACTAAGGCTTAAATCTGAGTAGGCATGCATGTGTTTTGCTGTACATGACTGTCTGTTGGTGTTCACTACAATTGGCAGTGGGGAAAAGTCAAAATTCAGTGATGCTTATGGGAAACCAAAGGATGAATCTTTACAAACTTTCTCTTCTTCTTAATTCACCCTCTTATTCTTATTCTTCTCACTGTAGTTGTTTTTGTTGGTGGTGATCAAGTATAGCTGAGAAACAGGGATGGGGAGAAATTCCATGAAAACCCCATAAGTCATTCAGAGAAGGAATCCCCCACTGGATTCTGAATTTCACTTGCAAGGATCTTTTGTCGACAATTCCATCATTCCAATGTAGTCTTCAGTCCCCTCTCTGTATTTTAACTGGAACCTAGGAAGCTGCCTATACTGTGTTTGACAACTGATCGATCTAGCTCAGTACTGTCTAGACTGACTGGCAACTTCCTTTCCCAGCCATACCTGGAAATGCTGGGGGTTTCACCTGGGGCTGTCTGCCTGTGAAGCTGATGCTCTACCACTAAGCTACCACCCTTTCCCATCCCCTCCCTTCCTGTCAGCCTCATCCTGCTTTGCTTTCTTTCTGTCTCCTTCCACTTTTGATTTTCATGGCTGAAAATCAAAATACCCTTAATGGCACAAAGACAACCACATTTATCAATTCCTCCATTGATTCCCATTTGGCTAGAAATTGCACCCTGCTTTGGAAAATACAAATTGAGATGGCCTGCCATTCACATTTTCTTTTTTCTTTTTTAGAAATTCTTTTTATTCACTTTCATTTTTAACAATTACCATCATACTCAAATCATAATCATTTTACAAGTAGGATTATCAGAATCCGAAGACGTCCCTCCACCCCTCCATGGTTTCCCTAAATATTCTTTTCAAACTGCATTGTATCATATTTTCCATATTTTCTTAAAACTCAGTTGTAACCATAATTCTCGCTTCATTGCAAGTGTTTGCTTTTTTTACAATTCTGCCAATGTTTTTAATTGTTTACAGTGTTCTTTCAAGTAACTTATAAAATTTCCCCGTTCTTTATTAAATTGATTGTCCTCTTGATCTCTGATCAAGTTCTATTCATATTTTCAATATAGCATTAGACAATAAATAGGTAGATATCTTCTTCAGGTTTCCAAAATACTGACTCTAGAAATGATTGGGAATGGACATAGATCTGCGGCCACTTCAGACTGGTGTTTTTGTTTGTTTGTTTGTTTGTTTGCTTGTTTGTTTGTAATCTATTTATTTTGGTAGGTGTGTTCTGAAACATGTTATTGATGCAATAAGAGTGCAATACTGGTGACTTATACTGTGGCATTATTCTGCTTTATGAGCTGTTCTGTAGTGTTTCTCTATTGCTACTGCATTATCTGGAGGGGCACTTCGTGCTATAGTTCAAGAAAAGAGGAGCAAAACAGGAGCATCTGCAGTGTAAAAACTTACAGGATATCAGCAAGAGGTTATGGGCTGTGTACCAGTTGGAAAGAAAGCTATATACCCACCCCTTAAACTCTTGCTGGTGTAATTAGTATTGGAAGTGAATAATCACACAAATAATCACAAATTGGCAATAATAATAAGGGCTTCCTGAGGGCACTCTGGTCAAGGATGGAGAAACTGTGGACCCCTAAATTTTTCCAGTATCCAAATCCCATCAGTCCCGGTAGCACAGTGAATGGCCAGGGATGCTGGGAGACACAGCCCAACAGCTGCTGCAAAGTCACATATTCCCTGTTGCTGACTTGCACCCAGTTCTTTGATGTCAACCATAGTACGAGTTTTGCTGTTAGTAGTCTAAAATTTACAGGAAGGTCTTAAATGGGAGTGAGGTGCATTCATTTTAATTAAAAATGAGCAAGGAACTGGTTTACATCAAGGATACTTGCAGTTTCTCCCTCTGGCAAACATATCCCAGTAAATACAACAGATGAATCCCGTGCTCTGTATAGTCATTTCATCCCAGGCTTCTCCAAACCGACTCATTTATTTGTTCAGAAGTCAAAGTGTTGCTTTTGGAAACCCGCCTAAACTGGTTCTTGAGATGATGAGACTAGCCCTTTAGCAATTAAGATAGCTTCTGGAATGCTATCCACACCCTGCTCACCACGCTCTCATTTCTCTCAAATGCTCTCTGAATTGTCAAGTTAGCTTCCCTTTCGACAGATGAGTTTATTTTACATATCCATCTATTTATTTTGATCAATTGTATACCACTTAGCTACAGTCATCCGTGGTATGCTAAAGAAATACCATTGGGATAAACTCAGAAATGACTTAAGATACCTGCTGATTTTTAAGAAGTCTTTTTCCGCAAGGTGGTGGAAGTTCAACAGGGAGGTGGCTTGCTGATCTCAGCAGGGAGGGAGCGCCATAGAACTGGTTCCACCATAACTGAACACACAGCTCCTGATGGATTCAAGCCATACATAATTTGCATTTTGCAATAGATAGCGTAGAAAGGATTTGCATTCTCATTTCTGTGAAATGGATACGCAGATATTTTCCCCTTCCCTCTTGCATCTGTCACAATTGTGTGTGGGCATCTCATTCCCATCTTTCACTCCAGTAGTGCATGATTCAGATAAGCGGACTACGCCCATCTTGGAGCTTACTCAAAGATATTCTCCTTTATGTATTGCTATACCTCTGCTACCCGTGTCCTCGTTTCACAGCATATATCAAGGTGTGCAGCCTGCTAGGTAGGTTCCCCCCAATCACAATGGCCTTGCTCAGGAATAATAATAATAATAGTAATAATAATTTATTTATACCCTGCCCATGTGGCTGGGTTTCCCCAACCACTCTGGGTGGCGTCCAACAAAATATCAAAATACAATAATCCTTCAGATATTAAAAGGTCCCCTAAACAGGGCTGCCTTCAGATGTCTCCTAAAAGTCTGGCAGTTGTTTTTTTCTTTGGCATCTGGTGGGAGGGTGTTCCATAGGGCAGGCGCCACTACCAAGAACACCCTCTGCCTGGTTCCCTGTAACTTCACGTCTTGCAGTGAGGGAACCGGCAGAAGGCCCTTGGTGCTGGACCTCAGTGTCCAGGCTGAACGATGGGGGTGGAGACGCTCCTTCAAGTATACTGGGCCGAGGCCGTTTAGGGCTTTCAAGGTCAGCACCAACACTTTGAATTGTGCTCAGAAATGTACAGGGAGCCAATGAAGATCTTTCAGGACCAGTGTTATGTGGTCTCAGCGGCTGCTCCCAGTCACCAGGCTAGGTGCCGCATTCTAGATTAGTTGTAGTTTCCAGGTCACCTTCAAAGGTAGCCCCATGCAGAGCGCATTGCAGTAGTCCAAGTGGGAGATAACTGGAACTAGGAACAAGAGGGTTGGAGGTTCTCAGGTTCCTCCTTGACCTCTTCCTGATGAGATGTCTGTGCCAGTTACACAGTGAGGCAGTTAAGCAGCTTCAAGTTCTAGGTTGCATCGAGGGGAGGGATTCCTTTTCAGAAGTTAACACACTTCTGATGTATTGAAGGCTTCTTCTTCTCATTAAGACCATTAGAAGAGTCTGGCTGCTGTATGGGGTCAAAGGTGAATCTCATTCAACATCCTGTTCTCATGATGGCCAAGCAGAACACAGGAAGATGCCATATACCAAATCACACCATTAGTCTATTTAATTCTATATTGCATGCCGAGGCCCGAGGCCCCACAGTTCCCTTATATAATAAATATGCAGACATGAATATTTTAGGTTAAGGGGATAAAATAGGCCACAACTTTGATTTGAGCGCTTTGGCTTAAGCATTGGGTGAAACCAGACTATATCCTGACTCCTGCCCGTCTGCAGGGAGTCTCACTAAGGGTAAACCACCAGTAGGGGGAGCCCTATGACGAATGTCAAATAGGGGCACCCCCAGGGTCCCCTATGGGGTCATGGCATGGCCCTAGACTACACCCAGGCTTCGGACAGGATCCACACCCCTGGAACCCTTTAAGAGCATACCCTTATTGAGGAGGGGCAGAGAAAGGAGGACACCCCCCGCAGCCGTGCCGCAGTTTAAATGGCCTGTAATAATAATAATAATAATAATAATAATAATAATAATAATAATAATTTATATCCTGCCCATCTGGCTGGGTTTCCCCAGCCACTCTGGGCAGCTCCCAACAGAAAATTAAAAATAGAATCAAACATTTAAAAACTTCCCTAAACAGGGCTGCCTTCAGATGTCTTCTAAAAGTCAGATAGTTGTCTATTTCCTTGACATCCGATGGGAGGGTGTTCCACAGGCAGGTGTCTCTACCGAGAAGACCCTCTGTAGCCACACCCCCAGCCGTGTCGATTGGACAGCTGGGGGTGTGATGCGGCTGGGAGTCCCCATGACACAGGTGGCATCCCTCCATCCTCCAGCTGGGTCACTGGGAGGTCCCGGACTTGTCTGCAATGAGTGTCAGTGTCTCCCCAGAAGTTCAGACTGGGTTTTCTTCCAGCCCTGCCTGGAGATGTTGCGGACTGAACTTGGATATAACACAGATGTTCTACAACTATGGATCTTCCCTCAAAAATAATTCTAATATTCTAGTCCTCATCATTCTGAATAAAGTGCTGTAATAAACAGAAATATGAAAAGCTGCATTAGTCCAAGTAAGACCATTGATCCATTTAGTTCAGTATTGTCTACATTGACTGCCAGCGGCTCTCCAAGATTTCTGCCTCTTGCAACCCTCCCTGGAGATGCCAGTGATACAAATTGGGATGCATTTTTATGCAAAGCAATTTCTTTCCCATCAAACTTTGTTTATTTATACTGGATTTTATGTTGATGTGTTTTATTGTTTTACATTTTTAGACTTTGTATTGCAAACTGCCTTGAGATGACAGTGTAATGAAGGGCAGGCCATAAACTGGGTTAATAAGCAAACAAAAGAATTTCTTGAATTTATGAGCCACCCTAATTAAACAATAATAACAGTTCTATGGGCGTTGTGCTTGGGAAAAGAGCTAAAACTAAAGCATGCCATAAAACAACTCAATGGAATCATTGCATGAATAAAAAACACCTCTGCAACAGTAGAATTATTACATTCAGATGCAAAACTGAATGTTGACACACATCAAGATGTCGTCATCCAATCTAACAAGACATAGACCGGCTATGAAAGCTAAAACCAGCCAGATTTTCATTATTCTGTACAAACTAAAAAAAGAAAATAAAACAATAGCAATGATGTTAAGAGACATGAATAGATCTTAAATAGGCTGGCATTCTAAAAATAAAAGCTTTGTGTTGGAGAACATTCCACAGGTAGGGGAGCCAGGCTGACTCAGAACATTTGGGAAAATACAGTATCCCCACACAAACATTCCATATAGAGAAGCTGGCTACCTCATCATTGGCAATGGAATGTCATCCCCCACAGAACCTGAAGGTAGCAGGTGGGTTAGGAATTGTCTTATATTGAGTCTGACCCTTCATGCATCTACCTCAACATCGTCTACAAGGACCAACAGTGGCTCTCCAGGGATTCAGGCAGGGAGACCTACCTGGAGATGCTAGGGATTGAACCACTGAACTATGCAGCCCTCACCTTCAAAATAACAGTAAGATTCCAGTCCTCATGGTTCTGAACAAAGGTCTGGTTTAGAAAACAGGAACGTAGAGAGAATAAGCTTGTTTTCTCCTGCTCAGGAGGGTAGGGCTCGAACCAATGGCTTCAAGTTACAAGAAAGGAGATTCAGACTAAACATCAGAAAGAACTTTCTGACAGTAAGAGCTATTCGGCCGTGGAAAGTTCTCCCTCAGGTGGTGATGGACTCTCCTTCCTTGGAGGTTTTTAAGCAGAGGTTGGATGGCCGTCTGCAATGGATGCTTTAGCTGAGATTCCTGCATTGCAATGGGTTGGACTAGATGACCCTTGGGAACTCTTCCAGCTCGAAAAGTCTATGATTCTAAGCTAGCTTATGCAGAGTCCAACCATTGGTGTCTACACTGATTGGCAACAGCTCTTTGCCCAACATAGAGAAATCTCCTTTATACCAAATTAGGCCATTGGTCCATTTAGGTCAGTACTGTCTCTAAGGTGACTGGTTGTGTTTCTCCAGAACTTCAGACAAGGCTTCTTTCCCAGCCCTATCTGAAGATGCTAGGGACTGAACGTAGGACCTTCTGCATTCAAAACAGATGCTCTACTTCTGAGCTATGGCCCTTTCTTGGGTTGTTGTTTAGGGGGGCACCTGAGGGCTCCCGCTGCCAAGCATCCCCCCATGATGGTTGCTGTAAACTGCCTCATGGTAGGACAGACCCTGCAGAGTGTAGAGGGCACAGTCAATGGCGTTGCTGATTTAGCTCAAACTCTGGTGAAGTTTGCTGAATTGAACTATTTTCTTGGGGGGTTGGATAATTTAGTCTTCTGTTTGTAAGCCCGACTGGGGAATTTCACCCTATCATTTCTTTTGAAGTCCAACCCTTAATAGAGACACACCTTTTCCAACCTCTAATTTAGAAACCACAAATGCTTCTTCTTCCCCTTTGACTTGTTTCCTCATTGTAGAAACACCCATCTTGTAGATGACTTTCCTCCCCTAACCGGTCTGTCATTGCGTCTATTTCTATGATGCATCCCTGATCTCATCTGGGCCTTTCAAGGGTTGCTGCTTGGGCTGGTGAGACATAATTAGAAATGCTGAGAAAGCTAGGGAGAGAGAAAAAAATAATAATAATCAGGGAGTGCCTGAGCTCTCCTAACACATATAAAGCCAGGGGCAATAGCCCTGTAACTCCACATAGGTGATGAGTTCCTTAGTGTCAAGCAAGAGTGAAGCAGGTATGTACCAAATTCACAATGCTCCTCATTGAACTGGACTCTCAAAGAAGTCAAGGAATCAGAGGAAGGAAGGAAGGAAGGAAGGAAGGAAGGAAGGAAGGAAGGAAGGAAGGAGAAGGGGAAATTGTGAGCAGGCAAAGGGACGTAGGGAGGACAGTGTACCCTTTGGAATGTGACCTGCACCCAGAGGAAAGGATGTTTCCAAAATGGCCATGGGGCTGCTTTATGTAAGCAAGTCACCATAATAACCAGCCATGCAAGCCATGTGGAAGGCAGAAGAAATTCAAACAGGTCATTAGAAATGTCACAAAGAATCCCAGGCAGGCAGGAAAGGATTCATTTGGAGCAATTGAGGCAGGCTGGTCATTTGTGAGCAAGTGCAATTGCCATTTCCAGCGGGAAGTGAGTGACAGAGAGCCACGGGCCCTGGTTCCCTAGATTCTTCCATGGTCTCCCCAAAATTGCAAGAACAGCCAGGCACATGAAGAGTTTGTAATGAATTTGGAGAGTCTTTGTGTGGAGTTTTGAAGAACACAGATGGAAGATTATTTATTAATTTGTTATTTGCATTCTCCTCCCCACCACCAACTCACAATACAACTTCTCTACATGATTCTTATATTCAAGGATGGAAAAAGTGTGGCCCTTCTCAAGATGCTGTTGGACTACAACTCCCAACAGCCCCAGAAGCCAGTCTGGCCAATAGTCAGAAGTGTTGATGGGAGTTGTAGTCTAGGGAGATCTGCAGGGGTAAGACTATTTTTGTAGACATGGATGTAGGTAGGCTATTTTAGAATCTGGACTTGATAACCTTATAGGAAAGCAAGTAGGGAAACTGGTGCCCTCCAGATGTTGTTGAACTCCCATCAGCTCCAGCAACCAGCATAGCTGATGACCAGGGACCATGAGAGTTGTATTCCAACAACATCTGGAGGGCCTAAGGTTCCCCGACCCTGTTTTAAGTAGACAGACAACAATGGAAGAGGTTGGAAGAGGGTCTTCACATTCCTGTTGACTCTGAACTTGGCCAAGAGTGAAATTCCAAGGTAAAATTGGGGGCTTTGAGGTTGTACAAAGGCATATGGGAAATTGAGAGAAAAGCTACAATCACTTCTCTGAGACTAGTGGACTTTTATGAGGATGGAAGTATGGTGGCTCCATCTAAGTACCGTATGTCCTTTTTTAAATAGCCTCAGAACACCAAACTAACTCTGCTTCTCCCTGATCTATTTTCTGTCTCCAGGCTGAAATCCATTCTAACAGAATGTCCACATCAGGTGTGAAGTGCGTCACCACACCATGTGTCACGTCGTGCCCGGATGCAAAAGTGGTGATACATCCACCACCGATGGTCCTCACTCTACCAGGACTGAGCCTCACCACAGCCCCTAACCAATGTCTGGTGGAAACCCAGACGTCGTGTCTCACCAATGGCTCCGAGCTATGTGGTGATGGATCTTCCAAAGCAATTGTCACTAAATCCTCTGGTCTGCGTGCTGTTTCCGGTGGAGACACCCCGTGTTGTACGACCACCTGCCCTGACTCGCAAGTGGTGATACAGCCACCTCCTGTTTGCATTACAATTCCAGGTGCAGTCCTCACTAGCTACCCCAATGAATGCCTCATCCAGACCTCAAACCCCTGTGTCCCTAGCGGTTCCCAGCCACATGCCATTGCCCGCTCTACGTCAGTTTCTGACTGCTCCCTTACCCCACAGCGTATGACTCGTTCTACCTCTGTCCCATGCGGTCTCAATAGCACACCGGCATGTGTGACACAAGGTCCTGGTTCCAAAGTGGTGATATACCCACCACCGATTGAGGTCACCATCCCTGGCCCTATTTTGGAAATTGCTGCAGAGGAGTGCACAGTGGAGGTCTACAACCCGTGTGACACTGCCGGTGCCATCACCAGTGGTGAAGAGCGATGTGCCATCACCAGTGGCGAAGAAGGGGAAGTCAAAGCCCTGACGGCACGTGCCTTGTCCTGCACTAAAGTGTGTGGGGTGTTGGGTGCTTCTTCTTCATGCGTCTCCCAAGGACCAGAGATGAAGATTGTCATCCAGCCCCCTCCCATTGAAGTTGACCTTCCTGGACCAATCCTCCAAGTCTTCCCAGAAGCGTGCAAAGTGGAAACACTTACCCCATGTGCTCCTGAGCCACAGGCACTGTGCAGCAGCAGTGATCCAGCTACCTCAACAGCTCTTGCCACCAGGACCAGCTCGCTGTCCACCATAAAACGTCCTCTGCCTGATATGAGAAGGCCTGCCCGCCCTTGGGCTGAGATGTACAGCCGGTCCATAACTCCAAGGAGCATTTTGGCCAAGACTTCCAGATTTTCCAAATACCACCATGGCTTCAGCACTTCAAGCTATCAGTCATCTTACTGAATTCCTCCATGCATATTGTACAAGAGACAGCTGGAATAAAGAGGTGGCCTTCGTGGCCTGGCTGATGAAGAAGAGCCTTCATCCCAAACACCTACCAAATAGATGGACAATATTATTTTCCCTTAAATTCTTTGAAAGACATAACTAAGATGTGCTTTCTGTACTATTGTGCCCAGTTAGGTCCCACAGGGACCTAATTGTACACTGTCGAAAACCCTGCATTCCATTGATTGCAGTGTTTACATGCCCTTAATTGTATCCTTTGTCTTTGGTCTTGTTTCTCTTGATGGGGCATCGCAAATGAACAGAAGAAATGGTGCCTTATCGAGAGACCAGGGTGTGTCTCTGAATACCAGGTACTGGAATCAAAAGTGAGGAAAGTTGTTGTTTCACTTAGGTCCTGCTTGTGAGTTCGCAGAGGCATCTACTTGGCCACTGTGACAACAGGAAACTGAACTAGGTGGGCCTTTGGCCTGATCAGCAGAGCTCTTCTTATGTTCAGCCCTGCTATTGTAGTGTAAATGGACCCATAATCTAATGTGAAATCAGGAGGCCGGGATCAGGTATCATCACTAACTATAGGTGATGGGCGGTCTTCAACTAATACTATTACATCATTGCAAGGATTTCTGCTTGTGCAATGAGACTTGCCTTCCTCTGTTCTGCCCCCCAGAACCTGTTCCAGAGGATTGGCAGAAGAAGCCACTGGTCAGATTGGTCAGATTTAGGGGAGGAAAGGGGCAGAACATTCAATTGCACAAGCAGAAATCATTGAGCTGAAAGTAACATTCACACGGCACTGTGATGGATTCAACCCACGAATCCTAAGCATCCTCACAAAAGAGGAGGTACTCTTCACCCCACCACAGTTACTTCTGAGTAAACAACCACAGAGCCACATGCTGCATAAGAGGTTCAATAGTCCATGCAGTGGGAGGAAATGGAGGCTGGAAGATTTAGCTCATAGGTCGCATTGCGTTTTTAAATACTGATATATTTAAAATAATGTTTATCATAATTTAAAGAAAGCCTTGTTTTGATCATGTGTTTTGTTTTTAATTTAGGGAAAAAATCCATTTGTCAAAGTGCATATTTGTCTAATAATAAAGCAAGCGATGACTTCTCAAGCTGGTGTTTTATAATGCTTTTGTGCAACCAGGATGGTGGGGTTTTGGAAACCATGCCCTGTGAGGAGTGGCTGAAAGAGCTTCCTTTCTTTAGCGTGGAGAAGAAAGTGGTCTTCATATATCTTAGGGGATGTCAGTCACACAGAATATGGAGCAGGTTTGCCCTCTAGAGGGCAGGACTAGATTGTCTCTAGCAAACTGAGATTCCAACCTGTCTGAAATTTCCCCAAAACAGGTAGAACTAGATCAGGGATGGGGAACCTCAAGTGCAGTGGGATAGTTGCAGCCCTCAAGATTGTATACTGGGCTCTTGAGACTCAGTCCAGGTCACACATCCTCCAGAAACATATACCTTCCAACATTTCTCAGATGAAAATAGGGACTGGTGGGGAAAATAGGGGCATTCCGGGGTCAAATCAGAAGCTGCATTGACTTTCATAATTCTGTGTCTGTCTCTGGAAAATAGGGGCACTTGGAGTGTATGGATACCCATCACTGACCCTGTTTTGCAACCACATTGAGTGTTTCTGTCTGAATGGAATGTGCCTTTGAACTCTGGTCACACTGGGTGGAGGATAGAGAGGGATGTGTGAGTGTGTGTGTTTTAGAAACTTACACAGGTGTCAGGCTTCAGGGAATTGGCTCCACCCACACCCACAGGGGCAGTAGTTAAGCAGAACAAAGGAAAAAAGAGTCTTCTTACCAGTTAGAAACTTTAATAATCACAATGAGAGAACGAAGAACCTATCTCCTAGAATGGCAGTGCTCCCAATTAAGAATTCTACCCCCTTATGTCCCTATTTTGACCACACTGCAGGAGGCAGTGGAAGACAGAAGTGCCTGGCGTGTTCTGGTCCATGAGGGTCACAAAGAGTCGGACTCGACTAAACAACTAAACAACAACAACATGTCCCTATTAATCCACTTCACTTCTGTGTCTTGTAATCTGAGCTTGGAGCCTCTGTGTTTTCTGTTTTGCCACTTTCTGAGCTCTTCTTGACCTTGGGGAGAGCAGGGGAATACTTTCCAGAGACAGTGAATCTCTCTCTCCCAGTGTTTCTTCTCCTAGCTGTTCCCCATCCAGTATTTCCCAGCTTCTGCCTTCTGAACTGTGTCCCTCTGCAAACCACTGTTCCAAATCTATACTGTCTGCCTGCTCCTCGGAAGATTCAGGATCTGGAGCAGGAGCAGGAGCAGGGGAAGAGGGAAGGCTCCCATTCCTCCTCAGTGCTGCCCTCTTCAGCACAGTCCCTGACAACAGGTGAAATTTAAATATTCAGAGTGGTTTAACAATCAGTCCCTCTTCCCAGGGAACTCTAGGAATTGTAGTTCTCTGAGGAAGAATGTGTGTGTGTGTGGGGACTACTAACAACTCTCAGCAACCTTACCAAACTATAGCTCTCAGTATTCTTTGGGGGAAGCCATGACGGATTAAAGTGGTATCTTAGGCTTTAAATGTATGTGGGTGAATGGGTCCAAACATTCTTAAAAGACTGCACTACACTGGCTTTCATAACAGCATAGCCACATATGCAAAAAAGCTACCCTGCATTTAGATCAGGGGTTGGCAGCCTAAGGCCCATGGGCCACAAGCAGCCCATGGGGGTCATTTAACTGGCCCATGGACCCCCACCGCTCACTTGGTCGCGAAGCAGAGTGGGGACCGCCTTCCGCGATGCTGGCTGGCTACCCATTGGCTGCAGGAAGCCAGGCCCACTGCAGCGTCTGCGGGACTTTGAACCAGCCCAAGCCACAAAAACTTTGCCGACCCCTGATTTAGATGGATGGGACCTGCAATGAAAAGTTGCAGCTGAGAGTGCTTTGGTTCAAAACAACAATCAGCCATGCCTTTTCCAATGCTACTCAGTTCTATCCTCCTTTTCCTTCCCCTGCCCCCTCAAAAGTCAGCCAATATCTCACATTGAATTAGCATGCTCAGTCTTCACTGGGCTATGTCTTGTTTCTTTGCTCCCTTTCGAGTTCCACCCCCCTTTTTTTGGTGTTTCCGTAAACTTTGGGATCCCTCCCCATAAAACCATCTAATCTCTCCCTCTGGTCACTTGAAGGTGGCTGTCACATTGGTTCCATAAAGATTCATACTCAGAGGATGAGTTTACTATTAGTGTACTTTCCTTTTTACTTAAAGGTATTGATACACTGTAGTTTGCATGGCCAATAGGGGGTCATATCAATTGCAGCAGGAGGATTGGAAAACAGGTCCAGGTGAGCTGTTTAACAGAGTGGAGGGGGTGCTGTGAAAGGCCTATCTCCTCCGCTAAATGAAATCTGTTGGAAAATCATATATATATATATATATATATATATATATATATATATAGCAAGCCACTCCGCTAAGTGCACCACCCCTCCTTTAGGCTTGGGGAGAGAGGGAAGGAGTAACTTGGGGTGAGCTGCATGAGGAACGGCTTGTGGTGAGTTGTGGACAAATAGGTGAGCGGGCAGCAAGGTGTAAAGGGAGAGATGCTTGTTCAGGTGTGAGAGAAGGGCAAGTAAGAGGTGACAGAAGTTTATCTGAAAATAGAGATGATGTACATATTTTTGTGGGACGCAGGTGGCGCTGTGGTCTAAGCCACTGAGTCTAGGGCTTGCCGATCAGAAGGTCGGCGGTTCGAATCCCACCAACCTAGCAGTTCAAAAACACATCAAAGTACAAATAGATAAATAGGTACCGCTCTGGCGGGAAGGTAAATGGCATTTGGTTTATTCATGCTGGCCACACGACCCGGAAAAACTGTCTGCAGACAAACGCCGGCTCCCTCGGCTTGTAAAGTAAGATGAGCGTCACAACCCCAGAGTCGTTCGCGACTGGACTGAACTGTCAGGGGCCCTTTACCTTTACTATATACTTTTGTAACCCAAGAAAATTACACACACACAGTGTTGTTGTTGTTGTTGTTGTTGATGATGATGATGATATATTTATACCCCTCCCATCTGGCTGGGTTTCCCCAGCCACTCTAGGCGGCTCCTAACAGAATATTAAAAACACAACAAAACATCAAACATTTAAAATTTCCCGAAACAGGTCTGCCTTCAGATATCTTCTAAAAGTCAGACAGTTGTTTATTTCCTTGACATCTGATGGGAGGGCATTCCACAGGGCTGCTGCCACTACTGAGAAGGCCCTCTGCCTGGTTCCCTGTAACCTCCCTTCTCACAGTTAGGGAACCACCAGAAGGCCCTCGGCACTGGACCTCAGTGTCTGGGTTGAACAATGGGGATGGAGACGCTCCTTCAGGTATACTGGGCCAAGGCCATTTAGGGCTTTAAAGGTCAGCACTAACACTTTGTATGTGTGTGATTTGTTTTTTGTTTTTAAATAATAAATTTCATTATTACTTTGAATTGTGCTCGGAAACGCACTGGGAGCCAATGAGCCAATGTAGGTCTTTCGGGACTGGTGTTATATGGTGTTGATGGCCACTCCCAGTCACCAGTCTAGCTGCTGCATTCTGGATTAGTTGTAGTTTCCAGGTCACCTTCAAAGGTAGCCCCATGTAGAGCACATTGCAGTAGTCCAACTGGGAGATAACTAGAGCATGAACCACTCTTGCGAGACAGTGGATAGAGTCTTGACAAAGTGGACAGAGACAAGTTTTTCCTCCTACTCTCAGAACACTAGAACTCATGGGCATCCATTGAAACTGAATGTTGGGAGATTCAGGACAGATAAAAGGAAGTTACTTATTCACACAGGGCATAGTTAAATGATGGAACTCTGTCCCACAGTGGACCATGTTGGCCACCACCTTGACTGACTGTAAAAGAAGTTTAGATGAATTCATGGAGGAGAAGGCTGTTAAGGGCTACTAGCAATGTTGGCTATGCTCTGTTGCCATGGTTGGAGGTCAT